AGGAGGAGGTACGCCAGCTATGCATCATCAGGTCTCATAAAGACTTCATCGATGGCTACTTCCAGGCCCTTCTCCAGAAGAAGGAAGAAGAGGTGGAGACAAAGATGGTGGCCAGCAAGGAGTCTGTTCACAAAGACCCTCCTGGAGCTACCTGGAAGACAGTCACCACATGCTACAGGAAACACAGAGCCATGGCTGCTCCTCCCCTGGCCCTGCACAACAGGTACACTCCCCTTCCCACCCATGAGGAGGCTTTGATGGTGACACTGGAGGAAGAGGAAGGTAAGCACTGTGCTGCCACCCCCAGGAGGTGGTGCAAGATTATAGTGGTGGTGAGGCAGATTACATTGCAAAAGAACACACAGATTTTCCAGCACACTAAATGCACTATGAAACACACTATGAAGCATGCTGCAAAGGCACCTGGCAAGCCTTCAAGGAGGGGTGGAAGACAGGGTAGAGAGAGAGCTGTAAGTCCCCCACTCTCCCCAAACTGAGAAGCAGCCTCTTTCCTACAACTAGTGGACATGAGGCTTCTGGATTTACTGGCAGGCAAGAGAGGGGGAAACAATGCCAGTGCCTGAGTCTGCATCCCCCCAAACCCCCCCAGCCATAACCCTGGCTCAACACCACCATGAGAACAAGCAGCACCAGCTTGACAATCTCCTCCACCCCGACATTTCACTTCCCATGCTGAACCTTCCAGTGCCAGAGGAAGAGCTGGAGCTGGATCGGAGTACCTTGGCAAGGGAAATTCTGGGGAAGGAGGGGGAATCATCTGAGTTTGTGCTCCACACCCCTCATGTTTCCCTTACAGCCAAGTCTCCTTCCCCAAAAGGCACTTCGGAGGAGGTTGAGGTAGACGTTGTAGAGGCAAGTGGCTCAGCTGAGTCCGTGCCTCCTGTTGCTGTGCCTCTGCCTGCTAAAGAGGGGGAAAAGGCAGCATCCGCACATGCACTTGCACCCCAGAAGCGAGGGGGTAGTGTGGTCTGGGATCATTGTGAGCTGGCAGATGATCCTACATATGCTATCTGCCTGCACTGTTGAGCCAAAACCAGCCGGGGCAAGGGAATGAAACACATGAGCACCACAGGGAGGCTGATGCATCTCCACAGGCACCACCCCCTTGCCCTTGCGTCTCCTCAGCCTCGCACCAGTGGAAGCATGCCCAAAAAGAAGTCCCCCTCTCGCTCCGAAGCCCCCATTTCTCCAAAGCAGAGACAGGTCACCCTAGAACTGTGGAGGAAAGGTGGACAGAAAGAGGTGCATATTGCAAAGGCAAGCAAGATCACCCAGAGTATTAGGGAAGTACTTGCTATGGATGGACAGCCCTTCCCTTAGTTGAGCAGCCAGGATTCAGGTGGCTCATGGTGCACATGGCCCCATCATACCAAGTGCCCACACGCACCACCTTCAGTAGGACGGTGGTGCCATCCCTGTAGCAGGATGATGGTGTCCTCCCTCTATGAGGCATGCAGGGAGTACTTGAGGGAGGAGCTGCATAAGGCAGGTCCACAGGTGGCCTTACACTTCACACCTCAGACATCAGGAGCAGCCAGGGTGGAGATCATGCATACCTCTCCCTCACAGGGCACGGTGCGACCAGTCAGGCCATCGGTGAGCTCTCCTTCAAGTCGAGGTGATGCATGAGTCCCACACAGCAACAGAGATCATGGGGGCCATAAACCACCTGGTGCATGGGTGGCGAAATGAAACACTGTCCTTTTGAAACAGTGAAATGGAAGTCAAAATGGAACGGTGCTGTTTTGCACAGACCTAGTAACTATAGAACAATTAGCCTAACTTCTATCCTAGAGAAAATCCTGGAAAAATTCATTAAGGTTAGGTTTGCAGAAGGTAGGATTCTGAATGACAGATCTTGTCTTACCAACCTCATCTCCTTTTACAATTAGGTGATTTGCCACCTGGATAAGAGAGAGGAGGTTGACATTATATACCTCGACTTCCAAAAAGCTTTTGATCTGGTATCCCAGGATGTTCTCATGAAAAAATTGGAAGACTGTGGGCTTAACTGTGAGACAGACAGGTGGGTAGGAAGCTGGCTGTGCGGTAGGACCCAGAGAGTTTTCTTGAATGGTTCTGTGTCATCTTGGCAGGAAGTGGCCACTGGTGTCCCGCAGGGGTCGGTGCTTGGTCCAGTACTATTCAACATCTTCATCAATGTTTTGGATGTGGGGGCAAAGAGTTCACTGGCCAAGTTCATGAATGACACGTTATGGGGAAGCATGGTCATGCTTGAAGATAGGTTGCAGATACAGGCAGACCTACACAGGCTTGCAAATTGGGCGAATCGGAACCAGATGAAGTTCAATGTCAACAAATGTAACGTCCTCCGCCTGGGGACAAACAATCCCCTTCAAACCTACAGGCTCGGCAATGCCAATCTGACCAGCACTATGAATGAAAAAACACTTCGGGGTTATAACAGACTACAGTATGAACATGAGCCAGCAGTGCGACACTGTAGCCAGCAGAGGTAACAATATCCTGGCATGCATCAATTGATGCATCTCCAGCAAAACCAAGGTGATACTCCCACTCTACTCCAGCTGCAGTCTCACCAATGCCGAGTACTGCATCCAGTTCTGGGTGCTGCATTTTAACAAGGATGTGGTAAAATTTGAGAGAATCCAGAGAAGGGCCGCCCATATGATCAGAGACTTGTGCAGCCGCCTGGTAGCTTGAGGTATATAGAAAAAACATTTAAAGCTGTGCCTATGTCTGAATCATCTAATCTTTCTGATCTCTCCAAATTGATTCGGAGGTTTCCGATTTGATTCGGAGAGATTAAAAGGGTCTCCTGATTTGATTCCAATTTGGAGATTTGGCCACCGAAACAGGCCAAATCAAATCAGCGACCGAAGCTTCACACAGGCCTATTTTAAATGTCTTAGCTGCATAGCTTTAAGATAATGCTATTTCAAACTAACTCCACTTCTTTTCCCTGCCTCTCAAAGAGAAATAATTTCTTTCCACACCAGATATACTAACAAAATATTGGGTAATTACCCTCTGAGTCAGATCCTCAGCTTACGTAGATCAGTGTAGTTTTATGTCTAGAGAGGAGTTTAGAAATCAAAATTTCTGTGTGGGGGAAATTCCAATATTTATTTTTTTTCCCCTCTGAATTGGAATAAAAGCTGGAAGTGCAGTTTCCAGCAGAACAAACATTCCTAAAGCTTTGATTTCAGCTAATTGAAATGTTTCAATTAGTTTTGGCTATTGTATTAGAATAGTAAATAATATATATTAATAAAACCATCATGTAAATTAGAGCTCATTGGAACATTCTTGATGAATTGCACCATTTCATGATAACCAGTTTCTAAAAGACATAGATTTCAGTAAAGTTTTTGGTGGGAATGTCATGGACTCTTTGATAATGGAGAAAGAAATAGAAGGAGAGGAAAACTTGACTACTTGTTGTGGATCAGCCCTTTTCAGGGGAAGCTTTGCTTTTGGACTCCCAGGCACTGCGGCACAAAGTAGCGGCATAAATTTGTGCCACTACTAGTTGTGCTGCTCAAAGGCACACCTGTGCTCATGTGGACCCAGCCCATGAATGGATCTGTAATTTTGAAAAGTACTAAAAAACAGTCTGTAGGGAAGTGAAATAGGAGGAGAGACCAGGAGTAACTGAAAGACAACAACACTGTCAAGGAAAGGATAGCTTAGTTAGTGGAACATCAAGATTATTAAAAGGGTGAAAGGGTCATTAACACTTATAAAATGAAGAACAG